ACAGTACAGCCACAGGCTTAAGGGTATAGACCCTGTAGTTAGACAGACTGACTTGGAGTCCACATCGAAGATTCTCTAGGGGGATAACCTTAGGCAAGAGTTCAGCCAAATCTGAACTTCAGTTTTCTCATCTGTAAAATGAGGATAATCTGAACTCTAATGCATGGAGAGATTGACAAGTCCACGTTTGCAAAGCCTTTCATGTACAGGTTGAGTACACTTTATCCAAAATGCTTGGAACCAGTAGGGTTTCGGATTTTAGATATATTTGAATGTTAGAATATTTACATACATATAATGAGATATATTGGAGCTGGGAGCCAAGTATACCACAGGATTAATTTATTTTTCATATATACCTTATCACGTAGCCTGAAGGTAATTTTAAACAATATCTTTAATAATTTTGTGCATGAAACAGTTTTTCGTATTCTAGAAATTTATTTTTTATCAATTCATAAAAGGCTCACATTTTCAGGGTGTATATAATAATTTAATACATTTATATGATTAGTAAATAGGAAATTAGTATACCTGAGATTATTCATCACCTTAAATATTTTTCTTTTCTTTAGAGTTTTGATTGTGTTTTGACTGTAACCCATCACATATCATTAGGTGTAGAATGTCTCACTGATGGCATCATGTCAGTGCCTAAAGCATTCTAAGTTTTGAAGCATTTTGGATTTTTGGATTAGGGATGTTCAACCTGTGGTACCTGACACTTCATAGTCAGTAGATTTGGATTATGGTTATTGTTATATTTTTCCTCTAAAACATCTTTATTGAGATATAATTCACACATACAATTTACTCAAAATGTAAAATCCAGTGGTTTCTAGTATGTTCACAGAGCTGTGCAGCCACCACCACAATTTTAGGACATTTTCAATGTCTAATACAGAAACTCCACAACCACTAGTAGTCATGCCCATTTCTCCTCCTGGCATCTTCTCCCCAGTCATGGTTACCAGAGGCTTGGGGTTAGATCTTCTAATGCAGAACTCTTGCAACCTGTTTCAGTAGAAACAAAAACAGGGGTTGGCATGGTGGCTCACATTTATAATCTCAGCACTTTGGGAGACTGAGGCAGGTGGCTTGCTTGAGCCCAGGAGTTTGAGACCAGCCTGGGCAATGTGACAAAATCCTGTCTCTACCAAAAAAAAAAAAAAAAAAAAACTTAGCTGGGCACAGTGGTGTGCAATTGTAGTCTCAGCTACTCGGAAGGCTGAAGTGGGAGGATTGCTTGAGAACAGGAGGTCTCGACTGCAGTGAGCTGCGGTCACACCACTGCTCTCCAGCCTAGATGCCAGAGGGAGACCCTGTTTCAAACAAACAGACAAATAGGGTTCTTTGTATAGGGTTACTTTACTGTTATTTATTTTAAAGAGCAGTTTGGTGGAGTGAATGACAATCCAATGGTTATATTAGAGTGGGAGACCATAATGTGAGAGGACACAGCATAAGACAAAATTGGAATTAATAGATGATAAAGAGTATAAGAAGTACTAGAGATGTTTATGGGAAGATTGAGTCCCATAAGAAGATTCCACTATTGTTGACAGCCAAGATACAGGAATTATCTGTATAAGAGACAAAGGAGAGAGAAGTAGTGTTGGGATAATCAGGATGAAAATAGATTCCGGTTTTTGGAAAAGGCTAATGAGCTGAATCTTGTGAGATGAGAAGATGGAGGCATGTCAGGAGGCTGCCCAAGGGAGTTGAGGGTGGCCTTTGTGAACAAAGAGCGTCAGATAAGAGAAGGGAAGGAAGTGTTCTGAGACCGTCATGTTGGCAACAGGAAATGCACTGATGTACTTTGTGGGCTTAAGGTTTGTGCTACAACACTTCATATTTAAACTCTAATTAAAATGATGTCTTGATGTATATGATATTAAATAATAAGAAATAACAGTTACTTTTGAGACGTAGCAAATTTCTCTGTACAGGAAGCAAAGAGACAAAAGTAGCTTTCTAGCACACTCAGCATTCTCAAAGATGTTTATGCAGAATTCAGAAGGGCAGTAAAGGCACCAATTCTTTTCCCAAAGGAAGACAGACTTCCAACAGTGGATGTACCATTCCCATGGGAGCTTCGTCATCAGATATTCTGTGTCTATGGAAAGACATGGCTTCCGTTGGGAATATTACTTTACCCCTCCCCACCCCATCCCTCAGCCCCAGTCCATTCTATAAGTATGCAGGCAGTGTGGATACAGAGAGGTAATCTAGAAACATAAACATGCCCCCTCATCCTCAGTGGAACCCCAGACCTTACACTCACACAAAGAGAGACGTATACCTTATGGATACACAGGTACACACATGTACACCCACACAAATTCCACATTTGGGGCACTAATGCTTGATATTAGCCCACTTGAGGGTAGAGATTTTGAGAAACATAGGATCAGACCTTAGAAAAGAGCACTGGAGGGAAGTGGCTCATGCCTAGGGGTTTTCATGAGACACACAGAACAAACTCAGAGGGAAAGGAACAGTGAATAGCACAAAAACTTCAGAGTAGGGCTGACTACCTTTGCAGACCAGACCAAAGCAGCAAAAGAAAACAACAAAAAATCCAACATTAAATGGATAAAATGTCTGGGCTGCAAGAGGAAAATGAGCAATAAGCAGACCCTCTCCAGCTCTATCCCCTGTTGATACACATTCCCTTTACTTTGCCAAGTTTTTATTCCTCAAGATAAACCTGAAGGCCAAGCTGCCAGAAATGAATTACAAAGCACAGCTCTTTGCTCAAGTGGCATTTGGTAATGCCAAGCAGTCGGGGCCAATAAAGTCACCACTTCCGCAAATCAAATGAACCAGCTCCCAAACCTGCATAACCTGGCACTGGCACCCTTGCCAGAAGAGGGAGAGGGCAGGAAGGAAAATGGGCAATGAAACGACTGGATTGGTAACATTTTTATTCCTTCTGCACTTATTGTAACCCTGTAGAGTGTTGAATGGCTAAGACAGGGTCATTTCTCATTTCTGGGAATGGTATAGAGGAAAGGCCAGTATGACTTTGTGCAATTCTGATTTACGTAATTTAATTTTTTTAAAGAACTGGCAGTTTATTCCTATTTAAGTATGTAACAGCTTCTTGAACATATGCAAAACCAATATGGAGTTCCCTGGTGAGCAGTCCTTGTGGAGCTGGTGTAGCGATGTAGCGAATGACTAAATATTATTTGTAATTAACACACTGTTGTTGGGAGGCAGAGTGCTCCTGGAGTTTATGCCTTCCATATTTGTTGAGGTTAGACAATGCACAAGAAATTTGCTCTGGCTGCTATTGATTGCCCAGAATCCACCTTGTTTCCTGAGTATAATAGTTCAAAGTATTCCTGTCAGCAACTCATTTATACCATTTATTTGTTTAACATACTTTTTTCAAAAGAGTACGGATTTGGCCCAACTCTAAATTATCCCAGATGCCAGATCAGCAGGTACACACTAATGAGATCTGGCTGTCGAAAGCAAAGGCGAAATGTGTGTCTTCTATTGATTGAAACCCAGCCTCATAGAATTGACAGATTCACAGCTGTATTTGTTGAAACGATGTGGAAGTCAGGCAGATTTGGGTGTTTCTCAACTTCCTGTGATCTCAGTTTCTTCATGTGTAGCACTGGGGTAAAAGCTGCAGATACAGGTTTGTAGTGAGCATTGGAGGTTTTATAAGTAAAGTACTGGGCATAGTGCTTGGTGTTAGGTGAGGTCTGAAGAGGTGACAGCTATTGCTTCACTATTCTGCTTAGAAGTTTTTCATGTTTTAATATAAAGGGCCCAAGTTAAGTAGGTTCAACTATGCTTGCTAGCTTACTTATTCCCTAGGTGTGTTCCAGAAGGCCACCCAGTAAAAGTGTTTATTTCCTCATTCTTGAAATGTGGCTAATAATAATTAGCCCATGGTTATTCTGAGTATTAAATGAGGTAATGTATGTGCAATGTTGCAACACATTACGCAGCACATTTCAGTCCTTTTCCTCGCTGCTCTCCAGTTTTCCTAGGTTGTTATAATTGCAGGCTGAGTAAAATATGTCTGTGTGTTTGATAAACTCCAAAACACAAGAAAAATTTCTCATGCAAAATTACTTGCTTTTGCAAACTTTTGACAGCTTACTAATTATTACTTCTTTCCTGACATACAGAAGAGAGGAAGCAATCATATTTTCAGAGCCAAGTAACTAATAGCATCTGTTTAGAGTGAGAACAATGTGTTGTAAAAACAAAGTAAGGGACTCTTTGAAGATTTAGGGAAACCACCACTTATTTAAATTTAAAGCTGTCCTCTTATTTTCAGTGTATTCTGGTGGCTTAACAGAGAAATCTGACACAGAAATAAAGCAACAGGAATTGGATTAGGAGCTTTAACTGACCTCTTTCATTGCCAAAGCCTGCAGATAGCTTGGTAATTGAGGTAGGCATTAGGAGCATGAGCTGTGAAGCCACAGAGTTGTGGGTTTATAATCCTGAGTCCGATACTTACTGTGTGCCCTTGAGCAGTGTGACCTTAGACAAGTCACTTTATTTGGATGAGCCTGAGCTTTCTTCACTTGTGAAATAGAATAAATGATGCCAAAGAGGACTGTTTTTAAGGATTATGTGAAATCAAGTGTTTAAGACTCGGTGCTACACTAGCATACAATGAAAGTAGCTCCTATTTATTTATTATTACTTACCGAGCAACAGAGCTGAAAGTATGAGAATTTATCGCTTGGTAACTGCAGGCTCCTGTCAGCCTATGTTCGGGGTAATAAGAAGCCCCTGTCAAACTCTTATTGTGACCTCCATATGATAAGGATCACCAATCTATTGTTATTTGTCCAGTAGCCTGGGAAGTCATTATACCTGAGTGTCCCCTGCTTCTCCCATCGGCAGTCTTTCTTTCTTCCAAGACTAGTGCTCTCAGCTGACTTTGACAGCTTTTTTTATTAGTAAACAAATATATCCCTTCTCAAATTGATGTATTTTTCAGCCATGTCAATTTTTCCCAGGTAGCAGGGATAAAGGGAATGTTCTTGGCTAACAAGAAGATTGACAACCAAGTGAAGACTTTCATCACGTATAACAAAGGCAGAGACTGGCGTTTGCTGCAGGCACCAGACACGGATCTAAGGGGGGACCCCGTGCACTGCTTGCTGGTGAGTCTTCATATTGAGGCAGAATGCCTCTCACGGTGGAGGGATGGAAATGGATGTTTAACAGAGGATGAGGAGAGTTCTGGGACTTCTGTTCAGTTGGTGAACAAAAGCTGGCAGGGAAGGGCATGAAGGCAAAGTGTATAGAAAACTCACAGCACTGCCTAGTATGATGTGCCACAGAGATGGGAGAACATGGGCACATTTCTTGTGCCTTTCCAGGGTCCTTGCATCCTGCCCCAGTTCTGATGAGGACTCAAATGGTAGTTTGAGGGAGAATATGACAGTTTCTATCCCTGGTGAGGATACACCCTGAACAACCTACTTTCTCATGAGTAACCTGTTACAAAACTTAATAATACATAAATCCAGCTGTAGAATTGATGAACTGAATGCAGAATTGTGTAGGTGTATTTTCCTGTGGAGATGTTTAATCACATTTTCGGAGGAGTTTATGACTCAAAAAAGGTAAGAACCACTGATTTATACCCTTATTGGTATTCTTTACAATGTGTTCTTTTCATTTATGTCTTATTCTTAAAGCTGAAGTTGGCTAACTATAGCCTGTGGGAAAAATATGGCCCATCACTTGTTTTTCTAAATATAGTTTTATTGGAACACGGTCACGCTTATTCATTCACGTATTGTCTATGGCTGATTTTACTCTACAAAGGCAGAATCGAGCATGACAGAGACTGTTTGGTGAACAAAGCCAAAGGTATTTATTGCCTGCATGGTGAAAAAAGCCTGATATTTATTATCTGTCCCTTTATAAAGATTTGCTGGCCCCTGCTTTAAAGTATGGCTTTCTTTTACTTGCCTTACATTTGGGTAGTACATAGATTAGTATGAATTTATTTATATATTTGGTATATGATGTCATCCAAAGGAGGATCAAAGATGAATCTTGCTTTCAAGGAGTGTGCAGTCAGTCTACTTGAATGTGACTGAATTAATAAAGGGAATATTGCAGGGCCACATCTTACTCCTCCTACTGTCTCTGATGCCTGCCCCAACTTTGACACACAGAAAAGTACCGAGTAAATGCAGAAGGAGGTGAGGAAGAGGCAAATTGCAAAACATTAATAATACTCTCAGTGTCTGTAAAACAATTCAGAAGCTCTGTCTAAATTTAGAAAAAGGAGAGTGGATCATGTAAACCTAGAGGGAAGACCACTTCATCTGAGTAAGAAGGGCTTATAGGGGAGGGGTGTGTGTGTGTGTGTGTGTGTGTACTACACATATATAGTTGTTCACACTCTTCATGCAGTTCTGACTTTGATGTTATCCACACTCAGCTTGCTTCCTTCCATCTCATAAAGTCTGGACAGTCACTTTGCAGGTTCATCTCTCACAGCTGTAGGTGGGTGACCCTCCTAGTTGAGAAGGTGCCAGGAGCCATAGCTTGACCTTATTAGTTGCAGAGGATATCACAGTTGTCACTGTGCATCAGGGAAGCAGTCTAAAATTCAACCTCCCACTCAGCTTCTATCCTTTTTGCTGGCAACAAACAGCGGGGAAAAGCCAGTTGTTAACAGTAAGTGCACCATGCCAGTGACAGAGTAAGTAAATGTAGCAGCTATTTATTGAATATGCAAGGCACAGTTCAGTGGCATTTTAAAAAACAAGGCCATCTTCCTAGTTCCTCTATAGCAAGCTGGAGTCTAGTGCTGCTTAACCAAAGATGCTTGGGTTATGCCAATTCCTTAAGGTGGTCTCTACCCCACACTTTGGAGATTAAATGTTTTTGAGAGAGAGTTAACCATGCCACTTAATGGGCTTGCCTAGGCACTCTGGCATCATAAATGAACATTAAAAATGGCTCTTAAAGTGCTTAGCAAGGTATTCCCTGCTTCACCCTCAACCCAGTGTAAGAACTCTTACTGTTGTACCTCCAAAATATAAATGTGGTGTCAACTTACTTCTCCGTCACCACTGGGACTGTCCTAATCCAAGCCAGCATTGTTGCTCACCTCCCACAACGACAGGCTTCTAACTGGTCCTCCCACTTTTACCTGGGAATCTCTTTAGACAGAAGCCAGTAGGACCATGTTTTTTTAAAAAATCAACTTTATTTTGAGGGAAAAAATATATATACATAACAATTTTAAGAGTATAGTTCAGTGAATTTTGACACACACAATCAAGACAGAACATTTCCATGGCCCTAAAAAATACCTTTGTGCCTCTTTGCAGTTAGAATGCACACTCTCAGCCCAGCACAACCAATGATCCACTTCATTTTACTATATATTAGATTGCTATTTCTTAAAATTGTGTGTAAATCGTTTCAACTTCAACTTTTGAAAACCCAGATGGTATCCCTTCATTATTTAAACCTTCTAATGGCTTCTAATACATGTAGAATATATAAAAATACTTTATCATGACCAATGAGGCCCCATGTAATCTGGCCCCTTCTGGTTCTCCTCCCTGGTCTCCAGCCTCTCCCTCCTTCCTTTCTTCCTTATATGTAAGCCAAGGTGGAGAAGGGAGCATTTCTTTCTGTACCATGAGCTCACCATGTTCATGTATGTCTTAGGGTCTTTGCATTCGTTGTTATTTCTCTCAAAATGCCCTTCTCTTTGTCTGGCTTTTTCTTGGCATTCAGGTCCTTGCTTCATTATCTTAATTTAAGAGAACTTTCTTGAGCACCCCCTAAAGTTTATTTGTCCTGACTTTTTTTTCTTCATGGTCCTTATTGTTATCTGAAATCAGCACATGTAGTGCTTTATTTTCTTGCCCATCTTCCCCACCTAAGTGTGGGCTTCATGAGCCCAGGGATGGTGCCTGTCTTTTTCGGCATTCCAAAGAATCAGCTCCAGGTATCAAACCTGCCACATGGTATAGGGGCTCAACATACATGCTATTGGGGGTGCCATGTTTGGGGTATGCACTCCATCAAAAGGTGTTTCAGTCTCACATTGGGACTTTAATGGAAGCTGTTCATTCCCTCTGAGAGTCCACTGGAGGATTTGTCCCAGTGTCTACCTTCTGAAACTCATGGGCTCAAGTTGGACCCAAAGTTAACCAAAGCAAGAGGCTCATTAAGATGAAGGAAAGATGGATTATTAAGATACAGATGTATGGAACTTGGGAGTCTTCCAGTCTTCCTTCTTTGTTAACACTGTTGTTTAATGTAGTTTCAACCCAAGTGTCAGAAAGCAGGCTGCAAGTAAGAAGGGGAAAAGGACAAAGGCAGCAGGGATGAGAGACCAAAATCATTTTACAAAAATCTACCAAAGGCATAAAATAAGAAAGAAAATCTTTGAGCTACAGGAGACCCAGACTGTTAAAAACCTTCTTTAGGCTTGGGAGCTGGTGGCAGAGACGAGATAAAAAGTGATTTTAGATTGTGAGTACTTGGAAAATGACAGTGTCACCGAAAGCACAACCTAGTGATTAGAGAAGAAATTTTTCCAGCAGGGCTGTTACAGATGTGGAATAAGTTCAGAATTACAGCCCAAATGGAATGTTCCTGGTAAAAATGTATTCTATAGAAATAAGACATCTAGGGTAATTTGGGCTGTATTTTTAGGATTTTTTGACTGATTGCCTGGAGGGCCCAGCTGGGATTTCTTTCCTCTGAAGACTGCATTGTACAATTAGATGGAGTATTATAGGTCATGGTCCACCTGCCTCCCAGGCCTCAGCATTGGGCTCCCAGGAGGCAAGATGTGAGCTGAACTGAGCCCGAGACAAATGCTTGGGCCGTAAGGGAAAGCACAGCGTTTCCTGGAAAGAGGTGCTGACTTCTTTGTGGATTCATCTGGCAGTTTTCTACTGGGGCTGAGGAGGCAGCTGCCCCAGGAGAATCTGCTTTTCACCTTTCTTGCATTGTCTGTAACTGTATATATTTTGCTGATTTGGACTGGAGCTGAATTCCCCATACCCAACCAGTTGATCCAGGGGCCTTCTTCCTTTTGCCGTTGACTCTTTATGGAAGAGCTAATAAATTCAAGTTCCAATTCAGAGTTAGAAATTATACAGATGAGTGTGGATTTTGGGAGGGAGAGTGTTGGGGATACTATTTGGGAGCTCATTTGTTATGAAAGCTCTGATTTGTCTTTTCAGTACAACATTCAGATTAGACACCATGGAGATAAGGATACCATGAAGACAGGATCCAAAGGCAGTTGATACAAGGACCGGGGAGAAAGAATTGGGATTTGAAGCTGGTTGACCCTTAAATAATATAACAGCTTTTCGGCTGGGCGCAGTGGCTCACGCCTGTAATCCCAGCACTTTGGGAAGCCGAGGCGGGTGGATCACGAGGTCATGGATCACGAGGTCAAGAGATCGAGACCATCCTGGTCAACATGGTGAAACCCCATCTCTACTAAAAATACAAAAAAATTAGTTGGGCATGGTGGCACGTACCTGTAATCCCAGCTACTCAGGAGGCTGAGGTAGGAGAATTGCCTGAACCCAGGAGGCGGAGGTTGCGGTGAGCCGAGATCGCGCCATTGCACTACAGCCTGGGTAACGAGAGCGAAACTCCGTCACAAAATAAATAAATAAATAAATAAATAAATAAATAAATAAATAAATAAATAAAATAACATAACACCTTTTAAAGTTGATCTATTACATGGTGGGGAAATGTCTTCTGTCATTTGGTAATTCCCCAGGGGGCATCCACAATGCTAGAAACACAGTAGATAATTAACATCACCTGGAGAACATTATGCTAAGAAAAATAAGCCAGGCACAGAAACACCAAGTCTGCGACTCTCACTTCTATGTGGAACCTAAAAGAATCAAACTCAGAGAAGCGGAGACAGAATGGTAGTCACTGGAGGCTAGAAATCGGGGGAAATGGGGAGATATTGGTCAAAGGGTACAATGTTTCAGTTAGACAAGATGATTAAATGATAAATATTCGAAGTGAAAAACAGTGGATCAGTTAAATTCAACGGACGTTAACTGAACACTTGCAATAGCCAAAATCCTTTGTTGGTTAAAAGAATGTGGCAAAGAAAGGTAACTAGTAACTAGAGGTCCACTTGTGGGTTTCAGGGGTTTGCAGACTCCCTGAAAATAAGTGAAAAACTCTGTGTACTTCTCTGTGTGCATTTTATTTTGGTCTTTAATTTGCATCAGATGCTCGAACTTTGTACCTGACCCAGAAAAATTATAGACTAACTATCTAGCTGCTCCTAGAATTTACCAATTGATGATGTGACATGGCCAGTGACTGTGTAAGGATGTTAAGGGCAGCTTCCAAGCATGTGTGCTGGCCATTCTATCCTCTGCAGGTCAGCTGCTGTCATTGGTTTGGGTGTATATTCGTATAGTTTCTTAATGTGGCAAGGGCAGGAAAATAGAGAACAGCCCTTGCAACAGGCTGTGCTTTGACTCTATTGACTTGGAGATAACCCTGGAAAGAAAAAAGCAACTATGTGACTATTAGCATGTATAGGTACTCAGCACATATTTGCTAATGAGAGAAAAGAAGTCAGGAAGATAAGAGAAAGAAGGGGGCTGTAATGTGCCCCCTGCCTGGGCAAAATGTGCATAAGAACTGAGAGCTAGGCTGGGTGCGGTGGCTCAGGCCTTTAATCCCAGCACTTTGGGAGGCCAAGGCAGGTGGATCACAAGGTCAAGAGATTGAGACCGTCCTGGCCAACATGGTGAAACCCTATCTCTACTAAAAATACAAAAAAAAAAAAAAAAAAAAAAGAAGCTGGGCATGGTGGTGTGCACCTGTAGTCCCAGCTACTTGGGAAGCTGAGGCAGGAGAACTGCTTGAACCCGGGAGGCAGAGGTTGCAGTGAGTGGAGATCATGTCACTGCACTCCAGCCTGGTGACAGAGTAAGACTCCATCACCAAAAAACAAAAACAAAAAAAAAAACAAGGGAGTTCTTTGTCTTTTTTCCTCCAGGGGCTTAAAGGGATTTGATAAGTGTTGTAATAAAATATACTAATATAAACAATATTAATTTTTTATGACTTAACTTGGACAAATATCCAAACCTGGTCAGTACAGCAGCTTAAGTTAAAAAAGTGAAGATGAATCACCTCACATTGTTTTTCCTTAAACATTTGTGTAGACTATGTAACTTCCTTGAAGAAAATTAAAGAACAAAAAGCCACAGAATATTCTCCTTATACCAGCTGGGGGCAATCCAGTACCACAAATGTGAAGTGAAGAAAAACGTGCATCAAAAGATCATTTCTAATGTTGCTGTTGCTGTGTGAACTGGTGTCTTTTCTTCTCAAATTAATATATCTCAGCCCTCTGAACGCCATAGCAACAGAGGCATGCTGAGATAGCCAATGGAAAAAAAGACATCTTTCCATTGTTTTTGTTTTTGGCTTTTTTTTTCATTTTGTATTAGAGATGGAGTCTCTCTCTGTCACCAAGACTGGAGTCCAGTGGTACGATCTAGGCTCACTGCAACCTCCACCTCCCAAGTTCAAGTGATTCTCCTGCCTTCGCCTCCCAAGTAGCTGGCATTATAGGCATCCACCACCACGACCAGCTAATTTTTGTATTTTTAGTAGAAACAGGGTTTCACCATGTTGGCCAGGCTGGTCTTGAACTCCTGACCTCAAGTGATCCACCCATTACAGCCTCCTGAAATGCTAGGATTATAGGTGTGAGCCACCATGCTCAGCCTGACATCTTTCCTTTGTAATGACAAGTGCCCCTTACCAAGTAATCCTTAGGTCTGGTGCAAACAAGTTTCAAAATCTTTCACCTGTGGCAAGCAACTGGCTTAAGATTGCAAATTGGGTACTCTTTTGGCTAGGGATGTCTTCCATTTGGTGGTGCAAACTCCTCTGTTAAGCTCATATGTCTAGAGATAATCCCCAAGCAGTAGTCTACTTCTTGGAATGCCATACAGATGCTCACAACATTATTCAGATTACGTGGTTTGTAATCAAGCCCACATACTCCTGGCATTGCTCTGAGTAAAATAGTAAAGTGATGTCTTTCATATCTGAACAAAAAAACATTGCTTGATTTTGCAAGCTTCTATTTATTATCTTGTTTAGATTCTATGTTAGGTTTCACAAAAGATGCAAAGCAGTGTTTAATGAGTTATCTTTATTTATAGAGTATATTCTTAGAGTGATATAACTGTATGTACCTGAAATAAATAATACAAGATTGTGCACAGTGAAATAAATTGTAGATTAGAAGAGGGGAGACCCTGATAGACTGCAGTTATAAGGAAGACTTAATAGAAAACTGGTTTTGCACTCCTGGTTTATCCTGTCTTAGCATCATCTGAATGTTGTGCTATGCTGTTCTGGAGCATCCACAGCATTTAATTGTATCAGTTCTAGTCTTCCACTTGGACAAATAAAAGCCAAGCAGCTAGGCCTGATATTTTTTCTTATACCGGCTGTCTTTTTTACTATCACAGAACATTATAAAGTGAAAACTCCTTTTATTGAAAGATTTACATGAAATTTTTATGCAAAAGCAATGATTTATTACTATTATTACGCCTTGAGAATTTTACTTTGTTGGCAGTAAAGAAAATATGAAATTGTGATCTGCTGTTTTATTTCACCAGCATTCTGGCTGCTTTTATTCCTGAGTTTCATTTTCACTTTGTCACTTACTCCATCCTTTATAAATTTAATCATTGTATCTGTAGATCTCTGAATGTCTGCTGGCTGAAACTTACAGAGCAGCATAGAAGTAATAACAGAGATGCATTGGTGATTCCAAAAAGTCAAGTTGATAAGATTAGAAAGTAATCTTTCTGAGAGATGAAAAGAAATGTAGGTTCAAACACAAACTTGTATTTTTTGACAACTCAGTGTAAGAACTATTTTAAACAAAATTCATAAAATATTTATTATCCATTTTTTGCTTGAAAACTATTGATATTTCAATCAGATAATTTGATCAAGGTTTCTGCACAGATAAACAAGTCCCTTATATTTTCATTTAAATTTTTACAACTAGTGCATTTTGTCTACAAGTATGATTTTCATGTTGAATAATTCTGATTCTGATCATATCCTGGTAGAGATACTGGATCAGTTGTTTGGTGGGCTTTGGGATAGTTTCATTTGCCTTTTCTGTATAACAGAGACCAAGGTCTCAAATGGAAAGTGACTAAGAGATGCCAACTGACTTTTTCAAAATCCTCCCAGGCCTCACTTGATCTTCTTTTCTGGATTCATATCCCATTTCTGTGCTACTCAGCTTTTCTGCTTCTTATTTTTTTGTTATTGCTGTTACTCAGGCCTGAAACATTGTTCAGTCTCTTGAACATCTACCTACAGTTCATAGCTTATCTATCTTTGCTTCAGGAACTGTTTTCCCTTTGGAGTCATTCATGATTCAAAGTTCAGCATGGTCTTTCCACCTTCTAGAATCTCATACTATTTTTTCTATACATTTTTATGGCTGTTAAAGTATTCTCTTTATGGTAATTAGTAGAAGGATCTCATGTCCTCTATATAAACTGTAAGCTCTGATAAGACAAAGATCAAATTCGATTATACCTAAAATGAAGGTGGTCTTTCCTTTACTAACTTGAAGGCTGTTTTACACTTAGTAGACACTAGATATTTGGGGGAATGAAAGATGGTGGGTAGTACAAGTATAGGTGCAAGGGTTGTTGGAGTGGTGCATGGATGTATGGTAAATGGGATGGTTGGTTAGATGGATGGATGGATGGATGACCTGGTTTTGAGCTTCAAATGACCATTTTGATTATGTGATTTTATGACACTTACTATTTGTCTTTTCAGCCCTATTGCTCACTACACCTTCACCTGAAGGTCTCTGAGAATCCCTACACATCAGGGATCATTGCCAGCAAAGACACAGCTCCAAGCATTATAGTGGCATCAGGTAAGAAACTTCCCTGGTTTGCTGGCTGTGGTATATAGTGTTTATTTTAAGAAGCTGTATATCTGTACTTGGAACTTAATAAGCAAGCTAAAATTATTTTTGAAAGGCACCTAAACCACTGGCTCTAAAGCAAGTTTTGAAGAAAACCCTGCACAGACAGAATGCTTGCAGTCAAAATCTTTCTCAGGCAAAGCGCCTGCCAGTATAGTCCATTATTGCTGTTGCAGAAAGTTCTTTGCACTAATGGTGGCCTTCTCTTTCTAGGTAATATAGGTTCTGAATTATCAGACACTGACATCAGCATGTTTGTCTCTTCAGATGCAGGGAACACTTGGAGGCAGGTAAGAAAATACCCTGGGCCAACTTGCTAAAGTTTAAGCGGCATAAAAATTGTCCAACTTGGTTCAAATCTGGGAATGTTTTCAGCAGTGCTGCACATAAATCCTGAAGACTGAATATGGTTATTTTTCCCTTTTTAATAAAAATCTTAAATCTTTGAGTTTAGCAGATATTTATGCAGTTTGTTTTTTTATCACTTAATAAAGTTGTTCTTTATTCAGAGCTTGTATGTAAGGATGTGTATAAGTCACAATGAAACCAAATTAAGTCTGACAAATTTTTCCCATCAATGAAAACCAGAATTCCTAAGGGTTTATCATATAGGAAATATGCGGCATTAAGGGTAGACTACATCCCTAATGCTGAGGTGGCTCCATAAATTCCCCTTGCCTTGAAGTCGGAATAGGAAGGAATGCAGCTATCAAAATGGCCATTACCCAGGTGGTGTTCTGAGTTGTTTAAATCTCATGTACAAAAGACATAGTAATAACCATCAGGATGCAAATGTCAGAGAAAGTAGAAGTGGAATACTTTAAACCAGTGTGTTTAGCTTAAGTGCTTCCTGCCTTTCTTCTGAATGAAAATTAGATTACCCATAGCTTATAAAACAGGCATTTAATGAGGTTTAGCAATCTTAACAAGATATGTGCCTAATGCATGGTTGTTATACTTCAATAAATATGTTTTAATAACCTACTGATGTTTAATTATCATACAATAACTGTAGCACTATAAATTGAAATTTAATGCACAGGTAATCACACTTAGCAATGAGAGCACTCTGCTTTAAATTTTAGACAAGAGATGTCCACATTATGGTCCAATTGCCATTTCTTAGCTTCAGATCCTTTATAGATCCTCAGTGGGATTCTGATATTTTGAGAGAAGGAGAAAGGGGAGAAATTTGCATAAGAAAGCTCAGAGCATTTGATCTTGGAGGTATGTAGAAACTTAGTCTATTCTAAATAAATGTCCTCTGGAGAATTGCTAGAGATCCAGGATCCCATTTTCTTCTTTCCAACACCCACACAAGGCAAAGAGGTCTCTACTTCTGTAGTCTTGGGGTGCATCTTGAGTATAAGAAATAAACAAATTGGAAGAAGATTGTCTACAATGTAACTTCAGGCAAGGCTATATTAATAATCTGACTGAGAAAACAGCATACATCTTACATAGAAAGGATCTAGATATTGTTTCCAGTCTTTCTCCATTTGACTTCAAATTTGTTTCTCTACCTTTGGAGAAAGACACAATGACACATGTACCCAAAGATGACAACAGAACTCACCATGATTTTGGTGGAGCCTTTGTCAATTAAACAAGAACACTTTTCATTGATAACAGTTGGAAACTTCAAAATAATAGATCTGGAGAGGTCACTGTAATGCAGCAAGTCCAAGCTCCATCCATTACTATATGCATGATCTCAGGCAAGTTACCACATCTCTCTAAACCTTAGATTTCTTATCTATGAAAATGAGACTCTTGGAGTAAATGATCTGTAGGCTTCTCTCTATCTGGAGCTGTATAATATATGACAGTTAACCAATATTCTGACATCATTATAACTGGGAATTAATAGAAATTATGAAAATGAAAGAATATAAGCATGAACCCATGAATATTCATTCTTCAAATTGATGCACACCTAAAGTTATTTTAAATAACACCAGTGGTACAGTAGCCCATGTTGGGAAGAACTGTTCTATAACTTTATTTTTGTGAAGTTTTAGGGAAACTTATTTATATCATGGGAAGGATTTTTTGTTCTCGTATGAATACTGATTCTCTGAAGCCTGGGTATGTGTGGATGTGGATGTGGGTCTATGTATGTGTTTTCCTCATCCAGATCTTTGAAGAAGAGCACAGTGTTTTGTACCTGGATCAAGGTGGAGTCCTGGTTGCTATGAAACACACATCTCTCCCAATTCGACATCTTTGGTAAGGGCATCTGCTGCCTGTGAGATCTGTACCTGATGGTCCTACACTGCTAAGATCAGTCTAGGAGTCAGGGTATCAAACTGTAACTGTTTTGTAGTAAATCTGTTACCAAAATGCCAGGGTGTAGGGAGGTGAAGTAGTACACTCCCTAGGGGTGGTGGGGGGGATCAGCAGCAAGGCTGCTGTGAACTTTGGTTGAACTTCAGGGAAGTAAAACCACAGTGGGAGGATGTGTATGTCTTGGAGAGAACAAATGGGCCTAAAATATAACCAGCTTTCACTAACCTTGATGCAAAATAGTTTTTAGCTTAAGTATGTTAACTAAAGTATAAGAATAATAACCACAGGCTGTTCTAAGTAACTGCACCCTCCCTCTGCTATGTGCTTTATAGACATATAAAATAAAATACACCAAAACAGGTCAGAGCTGGAGAGAGTAGCATTCTCACCTCCTGAACCCCCGGCCCAGCTTTCTGTATGTCTGTGTCTGTGTCTTTTCTTATCCCCACTGTTCCCTCTTAAGTCCTTAAACCCTTGTGCAGCACAGAATGTAGCAGATGTCAGACCAAGGGTTTGGTCCAGGTCCTGTTACTCTCCACACAAAAAGCCAATCCACTGAGACAACAAATATTGCCAGCGAAGAAGGCTTTAATTGGGTGCTGCAGCCAAGGAGAAGGGCAATCAGTCTGTCTCTGATTATTAAAATTAGGGGTTTATATAAAGGGAAGAAATGTAACTAGGTGTGGGAAAACAGGAATTAGGGAGGGGTAAGGAAGAGGAGGTGAGGAAGAGGAGGTGGTCAACAGGAAGGAAGTTGTCAATTAGGCAATCATGATGGGCAAGTAGTCTGGTTTCTTATTGGCCAGATGTCTTTATCTGGTGAGTTTCAGCTCCTTTATACTACCTGAGAGGCCTGATGGTTGGTTTCCTGAGAAGGGAACTCAGAAAAGAAAAATATAACTTTTTCAAGTTTTAAGATGGGGACGATCAATTTCTGTGTTTATTCAAAGAAACTATAATCATCAGTTCTGTGGGACAGTTGGACCAGTTTCAGAATGTTAAGAGTAGAGGTAGGAGAGAGGGAGAGGGAGAGAAGAACAGAGGGAGTGCAGAGAGGAGGAAGGGGAAGAGAGAGAGAGAGAGAGAGAGAGAGAGAGAGAGAGAGAGAGAGAGAGAGAGAGAGAAGTTTTACTTCCTGAGAGAGAAGTTGCATTATACTTCACAAATGTGACAATACTTTCACACTCACACCTTTAACCGTATATTATCCTCTCAGCACGATCACATGTAGAACAATGTTCATGATCAGGTATAGTCTCTGAATAGGTTGACTTCTTGCAGTAACCTTTTGCAAATAACATCTCCTGGAGTTTAATATCTGTATCCATTTTTGTATTCCACGCAGAGCCATTTCATGGCTTTTCTTCCAACCTAACAGGACCTGGACTAAACCCTTGGCATTTTAGTAACATATTTACTACGAAAACAGTCAGTTTGATGACTCATGACAATTCTGCTTGAGTCTCATTTCTCTTGATGTTGCTTCCTTGTCTTTTTTTTTTTTTTTTGAGGTGATAATCCACAATTCTGCCTGTGCCTGTCCCACTGATGGATGTATAAGGCCTAACTTCTAGAGGAGTTATCAATAGGTTCTTTCATCTGTGTTTTTGAAAGTGGTTCTCCACATATATGAGTTTGTCCAAGATCAAAAGCCTGATTTTCCTTCTACTGTTAGTTACTTTGATGACTGAAGGGAAAGATGCAAAACAGAAAAATAAGGCTTAGCTTGGGCAAGCGCATTCATAAAGAAACGCAGAGCAAAAGTAAAGGTCCTGAGTGACCATCTTAGTTCATTTGGGCTGCCCTAACAAAATACCATAAACTGGGTGGCTTATAAACGACAGAAATTAATTTCTCATAGTTCTGGAGGCCGAGATATCCAGGATCAAGGTGCTGGCAGATTCAGTGTCTAAGGAGGACTCCACTCTCCCGTTTATAGATAGTACCATTTTTCTGTGTCCTCACATGGTGGAAGGGGCAAGGCAGTTCTCTGAGGCCTCTTTTATAAGATCACTAATTCCTTTCATGGGTGGTCCACCCTTATGATCTAATCACCTCCCGAGGTCTCCGTTTCCTAATATCATCACGTTGGTAATTAGATGTTCAACATTTGAATTTTAGAGAGGACGCGAAATTAGATCATTTCAGTGACCATCAGGACTGAAGAATTATCTTCTCTTCCTTTCAAAAGTCTGTCTTGTACTCATTCATTCAGTGAGGTCAGCCGGATTTAAGGGCATAAGAAAGACACACTTAGGAATTGGTCACTTAGAGATGGGTTGGTTGAAATCTAAGTAAATCTTACAAGGTCATCACTCGTCAGGATCACCTGGAAGACTTGTTAGACGGTAGTGAGGTTTTGGAAAGGGTTGAGAGCTTGAAGTCTCAGAAATAATAAAATATCCAAACTTTCAAAAAGTTTATTAAAAACTTACAGTTATTCCCATTTAATGTAGCTCTCCCTTCATTGATGTTTTAATACATCTGTGTCCTGATGGCTTGGCTAACTCTATTTCTATCTTCTAATATAATTAAGAATGGTTATTCATATGAAAGGCTCATTTTGACGATGCCCCCAGCTACTTTTAAAATGTATTATTTCCTGGTTGACAGTATCTTTGCTTTGAAATGACTTTTCTTTCCCTTTGGAGATCTGATTACTGATGCATTTTATATCATTAGGTTGAGTTTTGATGAAGGGAGATCTTGGAGCAAATACAGTTTCACATCTATACCACTTTTTGTGGATGGGGTTCTGGGTGAGCCTGGAGAAGAGACTCTCATCATGACGTAAGTTGAAAGCTATGATGTGTTTCAGCCTTCATAGAAAAGAATAGTCCACAAAAATGTTTTATAGCTATGCCTGTTTGATTTGCATCTATTAGGTTTGAGGTTGTTGCATCTTACTGCAAGAGTGTACAACAAATAGGAAAGAAAAATGTGGGCAGCTATTTCTTGGTTCCTTGATAGTTTTTTGGAGACCCAGTCTGAGGTGTTTAGAGAAATTAAAAGTGATTATTTCAATAAGAAATAAAGCTGTGCATTTAAAACTTTAATAATAATGAACCTGAATATGTAGAAAATCTCAGGCATATAGGAATGATTTCACTTTAATTTAGAACATAGTGCTTCATCAAAATGCTACAAAGCATTGTATTTTTCCTGAGCTTTTTACCTAACCCAATTGTGAGGCATATTAGGAAAATCATGAGAACATTCTGTTCTTATGAAAATGCATTTATACTCATTTTTGTCTGGAATGTGATGATCATTAATTTGTGAAAAATTAGTGACTTGGCTGCCTATGGGTGTCAATACATGGACTTTAAAGTATAAAACTGATATTTCCTTCCTTTGGAAAATTGGACATAGAAAACAGGAACGGAAGGTTGTAAAATAGTTGATCTGATCATCAATGAAAACTTTCAAGCCAAAGTGAATACTTAGTACACTTTCTAATTCCCTCCCCTACCACTACTACTTTTTTAATAATAGAAAACAACAACAACAGAAATCCAATATGCCCAATGGCTACACTTTTGTCAATGGGAATCATAGCTAAATTAGCAATACATTCCATAATTTGTCTTTCTTCAATTTTTATATTTTCAAAGCAGGGATTTTATAAAGATGACCCAACAGGCCACTTCATGGCTTTTCTTCAAACCTATGATTGGTGATTCAAACATCTCAGTAAATACCTGAGTCTCTCTGAATAAAGAGAGTAGACTGCACAGTGTAGGAAAGCATTATAAGTACTTGGCTCTCCTGATCATTTTCACTAGGGGCTGGTGGGAAGGTAAAATTGCATGGAAACCATGGGAATTATGTATCTTAGCAAGATAACCTAGAAGTCTAATCTTGGACCATATAGAATACAGTATTTATGATTGTTTCTCAAGCATATTTTCCCAGCCACTCCTGTGGCACAATATGTACAAGTGGGCTCTTGAATCAAACACTGTGGGTTCTGGTTCTACCTGTTATTATGACTTGATTTTGTGTTTTGCAATGTTAACAAAACTCATGGAACCTCATATTATCTGTGAAGTGGATCCAGTAATAGTACCCTCCTCGGCTGGGTGAAGTGGCTCACACCTGTAATCCCAGCACTTTGGGAGGCCGAGGCGGGTGGATCACGAGGTCAGGAGATCAACACCATCCTGACCAACATGGTGAACTCTACTAAAAATACCAAAATTAGCTGGACATGGTGGTGTGTGCCTATAATCTCAGCTACTCAGGAGGCTGGGGCAGGAGAATTGCTTGAACCAGGGAGTTGGAGGTTATAGTGAGCTGAGATCCTGCCACTGCACTCCAGCCTGGTGACAGAGCGAGACTTTGTTTCAAAAATAAAATAAAAAGTACCCTCCTCATGAATGCATTTTGAGGATGAAATGATATGATTCATGTAGCATGCTTAGCTCAGGGTGAACACTCCACAAATGCTCTCTGTTGTTACTGCTGATCGCACTGTTATCGTTGTGATTATTTTTATCACCATGAACTCTGCAGAGTGTTTGGACACTTCAGCCACCGCTCTGAATGGCAGCTGGTCAAAGTAGACTACAAGTCCATTTTTGATAGACGGTGTGCCGAAGAGGACTACAGACCCTGGCAGCTGCACAGCCAGGTAGGAGGAAAAGAACTGAGACTGAGCCCTGGGCAGGAAGCATAGGTCATGTTGGGGGAAAGCTAGTCGCTAAGGTATAGGAAAGAGGATGCTCTATGCCAGAATGTCCATCTACTGTTTTCTTACACATTTTGTGTTCCACAGCAGTGAACAAACTCACCATTTATAGCTTGTTGTGATGTCATTTCTGTTTTTTATTGTGCTAGGATATAATGGGATAAAATTCAAATGTGCTTGGCTTAGACTTATAACTTAAAATGAAATAGCAATTCAGCACTGAGATCCACACATAATTCATCTGAGAATGTCATATGGTTGCATGGTGGGGGCAGGGATGCAAACAGGGACATAAAATAACAAAGTTATGCTGGGGCAGTGTTTTGGAGAAGTCCTTCTTCCCCTTCACCTTGATTCCTTGGAACTATGTAGTGTTTTTTGCCTCCTTGCATGGTACTCCTGGTATGAGAATGCAGCATTATTAACAGGAAACTTTCCTTTGTCTTGGCCTCTCACCTAATCAGCTTATATCAAAATGCTTAGATGGAAGTGTCTCTCCCTTGATTTCCCAAGGTACAAGTCATCCTGCAGCTTTCTCCAAGGATGTGGTGGAAGTACTCGCTGCAACATCATCACCATCTTCAGGCAGAAAAACATCATATCACCCCAAACCTAGACTAAGTCATATATTTAAATGTAGACGTGTAATGAAGCCAGTTAAAAGGAGTTTGCTCAAGCAAGACACTATACAGTAGATGAAGCAACATTCTACTCTGGTCTTTCAGAAACACAAGAGGAGGAGTGTGTCTGATAGTGGGCTCGGCATTAGCTGGATACACCTACGCTGTTCAGAGGCTCAACAAGGAAATCACTCATTTACATTCCTGATATTTTCTCCTTTAGGATGCACAAGCATTGTGATATCCGAAGCTTTTATTTATTTTGTGGGAAAACACTGAATTTAGCTCTCTTGCTTGTCTGGTAGAGGAACATAAAATCCGTGCTGTAAAGTTGTGTGGGCAGAGGCATAATAAATCAAGGCAAAATGAATCTTTATATTTCTTAGCAATGCTCTTCTTTCATGCTCTCATAAATGACCAACTGTATAAATCTTTTATTATAGGAGAATTGAACTTAATTGCTACAGATTTGTTGGCAATATACTAGATACAGTCTGAGTCTTACTTATCTGTGTGTCCTTCATAGCACTGCACCTAACACTTTGCCAAATAAAGGTTTGATAAATACACACAAAATTAAGGATGTTATTTAATAATCCTCAATGATCATTAGGATTGCCTTTATAGTGAAGTTGTATAATAGGGTTCTGGACATCAAAAGGAAAGTGTCGTTAGCACAAAGAGGGCTACTAAAGTTTACATTACACTAAGATTTGTCAATGTCTCCCTAAATGTCCCTCATGTGGGGCAGGGAAAGTCCAAGCTATGTGCCCAAGTGTCTGTGATCCTTCTCTCCCTGCAGGGGGAAGCATGTATCATGGGAGCGAAAAGGATATATAAGAAGCGAAAATCAGAGAGGAAATGTATGCAAGGAAAATATGCCGGAGCTATGGAATCTAAACCCTGTGTCTGCACGGAGGCTGATTTTGACTGGTAAGCTCCTATAATTATCTTGTGGAGTCATTCAGTGTATCAAATCCACATGGGCCTTAATGAAAGCTTAGAATTGAAATAATGGTATCATGCCTAGGGCTAAGTGGCTAGCTTCATTTTCTTATAAAATTACCTTATAGTTTACTAGCTATGTGCATGTGTATATGGAAAAATCAAGAGTTTCTTTAGACTGAAAGAGGACTCAGAAGATGGCTGGTAATTGTCTTCATATAACTGATAGATTCCTAGGACAAAAAGAGAGCTTATTTGGCCAGTAGTGGTGGCTCATGCCTGTAATCCCATCACTTCTGGAGGCTGAGGCTGGCATATCACTTGAGGTCAGGAGTTCGAGACCAGCCTGGCTAATATGGTGAAACCCCGTCTCTACTGAAAATACATAAATTAGCTGGGCGTGGTGGTGGGCATCTGTAATGCCAACTACTTGGGAAACTGAGGCAGGAGAATCGCTTTGACTTGGGAGTCGGAGGTTGCAGTGAGCCGAGATTGCACCAGTGTACTCCAACATGGGTGTCAGACTGAGGCTATGTCTCAACAAAAGAAAAAGAGAGCAGATTCTTTCTGTGCTCCTTCAAACAGCAACAGTGAAAACAGAGTGGATTTTTTTTTTTTTTTTTTTTTTTGAGACGGAGTTTTGCTCTTGTTACCCAGGCTGGAGTGCAATGGCACGATCTTGGCTCACCGCAACCTCCACCTCCTGAGTTCAGGCAATTCTCCTGCCTCAGCCTCCCGAGTAGCAGGGATTACAGGCACACGCTACCATGCCCAGCTAATTTTTTTTATATTTTTAGTAGAGATGGGGTTTCACCATGTTGACCAGGATGGTCTCGATCTCTTGACCTTGTGATCCACCCGCCTCGGCCTCCCAAAGTGCTGGGATTACAGGCTTGAGCCACCGCGCCCAGCCAAACAGAGTGGATTTTTTAGGAAGCAAACAAACCTATTTGTGCTCTAGATGAAAGCTTTCTAGAATCTAGAATTTTCCGTAGTGGAATAATGGCCTTTTAAGGCAGTAAATTTTCTGTCCCTGAAAGTTTTCAATTCATAGCTGACCACAGCATATGAGATTCGTGGAAGACCTTTCTGAACTCAGGGCAAGAATAGATGCAATGGCATTGCAAATCTGTAACTCGGTGAACCTGGTGATAAAGAAGACTTCTTGTTTACCAGGATTAAGCTAGTTTAAACTGGAGAAGTACTGAGACACTGAGAGGTTAAACTAAACTCAGAGTGCCATAGAGTTCTTCCTGAGACATTTGCTAAGCAGAAAGCTAGCGTGTGGGCACAGTGAAGCCCTTCCCTTATTGTCAATGTTCATTGTTCAAGTAAGGCTTACAAATTATTGAGGACAAGTAGGTGGTAACTCCCTTGGTATTTTCCACTGTTTTTTTCCTCTTTTTTTGCTTTTCCTTTATTTGTTTTTAAATTAGAGAATGTGATCACTAAATACGTACAAATGCGTTAAAGAATTTATACTTGACCCTCATAAGAACTAATCATTCTTTAACAATTTAGTTCTAGTTGTATAGCAATCTCAGGTTACATACTGAATCATTAAAATATCAGTGATTGGACTGAGATACTGCGCACATACGCATCACATATCTTAGAAAAGTTAATCCTTCTTTTATGGTAGACATCTGTAGATATTCTCTAAAGTACTGAGAAGGTCTGAGAAGAGTGGCCACCAATAACCCACAGCTGTACCCCTTTGGTGTATATTGGCCAAGCCCAGAGCCAATATCTCTTTGGGCTCAGCCAGAGGGCAACAGAGCTTCAGTTACATTGGAACTCAAAAGGAGATCTTCAGGGGCTGCCCCAATTGTGACTTCTGTTTTAGTCAGTGCAACATTATGACAGTGACAAAAATATTTTATCTTGTACTACTCTTTGGGACTAACACCCTGAAATGCATTCACAGGGAAAACTACCATGAGATTTTAAGTTATTCATCACATCCCTCTTTCTGAAGCGACTAATGCTTCTTCATCTACCCTATTCAAGGAAGATTTGCAAAGGAAGTTAGCATCTTACATTAGTGGTATAGCTTTTGCCTTAAGAAACAGCCGTTCTCGGTGGCTCATGCCTGTAATCCCAGTACTTTGGGAGGCTGAGGCGGGTGGATCATGAGGTCAAGAGATCGAGACCATCCTGGTCAACATGGTGAAACCCCGTCTCTACTAAAAATACAAAATATTAGCTGGGCATGGTGGTGCGTGCCTGTAATCCCAGCTACTCAGGAGGCTGAGGCAGGAGAATTGCCTGAACTCAGGAGGTGGAGGTTGCGGTGAGCCGAGATCACGCCATTGCATTCCAGCCTGGGTAACGAGCAAAACTCCGTCTAAAAAAAAAAAAAAAAAAAGCAGCCATTCTTTAGCAGGAGGCAAATTTATTCTCTAGTAGAAAACCAAAGAGAAAAAAAAATGAGATGAGATGTCCCAATTTCCTGATTTCTCCTTGAAACATTTGCTTTCCAAAGAAGACTGGATCCAAAATAAGCCAGTCTTTTTGTTGTTGTGGTGGTTGTCATTTTTCTTTTTCAATTGTAAGCTAGTCAACGGGAAAGGAATACCAGATAAGAAAAGCAGTTAGACTTCTTCTCTCCCCCATCCCTAATACCCTTGTCTTGGCCCAATCTTTGCATTCATTTGTGATTGGAATCGGCTATTCATCCCACTAGCTGAAATGGGAAGTGAATCATGAAGGAAGCCATTGTAAGGTTTTTTGGTCCAGTGGGATTTCTGTAACTGCATGATTTCTGAAAATATTTGGAAAGGCTCATCATGACCTTGTTGGGCTCCTCCCAGTAGCTGGAGTTTTGATGATTACACCTGGCTATAATGTAATGAAAGGTGATTGTCAATGAGTTTTTCTCCTTGGATTGGCTCTCTCCTGGACAGTTCCCCATATGCCCGTGCCTGACCCTCTCCAGCATTCATAAAGCAGTTCCCTGAAGTGAACACTGGTTGTCCTATAGGTTCTGAAGTCTTCCTCCCCATGCTGCGTTGAACCAGCACCAAATCCAGCTGATATGTGCAAAATTCTAAGTACCAGCTGCCTGGTCACAGACCCCTGAGCTGAGCCTGCTTCTCCCTTCCTGACCCTTGTGTGCCAGCATCTCACCTCCATTACACAGATGGGCCAATTCATACTAATGCTTGCTGATTGCTGCCTGTGATTTGTCTGTGCATGTGGAGGTGCAATTTGTTGTCATTCTCTGCGCCCAGGTTCATCTGCCAGAAGCCAAGAATATCAGGCAACTCAAAGGACCCTAGAAGCAGGAAGGAGAGGAGGCTGAGAGGAAAGTCTTTGACTATTTCCAAAGCAGAGAGGGGATTTACAGCACTTAGTCCCAACTGGCAGTGCTAACTGCCTGAGATGAAACCTTTCCTTAGGGGAATGCTCGAGACACTCCTGAAGGACATTGCCTTTTTGGCTGTAACTTTGAAGCATATGGAGTTTACACAGAGGGACCTGGCTCAGCTCTGCTTGTTAGATCCAGATGTCTTGGAAGAGCATCCCAAAGGCATCACCAGTAATGAGGACTGTGCCACATGTGGCCGTGTTAAACTCTGTGATGAATTTTTCACCAAGGGTTGAGTGCCACCACTACCCGTTTTCTCAGTATAGCTTTCTGTGGGCCCAGCCATCTGTATTGTGTATCCTTCTAATGAGAACACATCTACTCTCTCAGCTTAAGACTGTTTAAATGCAATGACTGGTTGTGTAGGATATTTTCCTGAATAATTGATAGATATTCTATGAAAAAGAGGTCTATCTTTGAGAAGTCATTGACTCCGGCAATGCTGCTTTTTTTTTTTTTTTTTTTTTTGACTAATTGATGAGTGCAGAACTTGGCTGTGGGCAGACATGGGATTGTTTTCAGCAGTTTTGCCACCTACTGAAAGGTTTTTCTCTGCTCTTTCCTAACAGTGATTATGGTTACGAGCGACACAGCAATGGCCAGTGCCTGCCAGCATTTTGGTTCAACCCATCCTCTCTGTCGAAGGATTGTAGCTTGGGACAGAGTTACCTCAACAGTACTGGGTAAGTGTCTGGAGTAGTGACCTTGAGAGGCCAACCTTTGCTGCTTTGGAGCACATGTTATACTGACAGAATGACTTCTAATCAAAGACCAAGCTTATTTTCTTACAGCACAGTGTAATTGCTTTTGTTCATTTTAACAATGAAGCACAACTGCACTAATAGTGCAAGTTTCATATGAGAATAAGATCCCAGTTGCAAATTAAAAAGAGAAATGTTTCTTGGATGAAAATGATGATGATGATGATGATATTAAAATAGAAATGTCTTCATTTTTTTGATACTTTGTTTTCAAACTATTTATGTGAAGTTATCTTTTACCCTCATGGTATCTACGAGGAAGGCCAAATAGAATAGATATTTCATACGTGCATTTCCTGGTTTATAGATGTGGAACCTGGAATCACAAAAGGAGCTCATTGACTTTTAAGAGTATACTATGGTTAATAGGAATGTATTTTGCTTTCTCTCTATGTTCAATCTTGACCCATTTAAAGCATGCATTCTGATCTTTGTAAATGTGGAACCACATTCTGAAATTTGGTGTTTAATAATCTGTGTCATGGGGCTTATTCAATATTATTTAAGAAATACTATAAAAAAGAAAAAACTCATAAACTTGTCTCAAATGTAATTGTTATCTATAAACTTTAAAATATTGTGTGGAACCTATTTAAATTCTAATTCAAACAAATGATCTGTAAAAAAGACACATTTGAGCCATTGAGGAAAATTGAACATATATTGGTTGAAGTAATGTATTAGTTAGGGAGTTCCAGAAAAATAAAACCAACAGGATGAATATTTATTTAGAAAGAGATTTATTGACATAGCATGGTGGCTCATGCCTGTAATCCCAGTACTGCACTTTGGGAGGCCAAGGCAGGCAGATCACTTGAGGTCAGGTGTTTGAGACCAGCCTGGCCAACTTGGTGAAACCCCATCACAATTAAAAATATGAAAAAAAAAATTAGCTTGGCATGGTGGCGGTGGCATGCACCTGTGGTCCCAGCCACTCAGGAGGCTGAGGCAGGAGAATCACTTGAACCCGGGAGGTGGAGGTCGCAGTGTGCCGAGATTAAGCTACTGCACTCCAGCCTGGTTGACAGAGTGAGACTCTGTCTCAAAAAAAAAAAAAAAAAAGAAAAAAAAAAGAAAAGAAAAAGAAAAAAGAAAGATTTATTGAAAGGAGTTACCTCATTCAATTACAGAGATAGGTGGGTACCAAGATCTGCAGGGTGAGTCAGCAAGATGGGGACTCAGGAGAGCTAAAACTGTAGTTCTACTTCAAGTCTAAGAGCCTGAAACCATAGAGCCAAAGTTGTAGTTCTAGTCCAAAGGCCCGAAGACCTGAGACCCAGGAAGAGCCTTTCAGTTCAAGTCTGAAGGCAGAAAAAGAAGCCAGTGTTCCAGTTTGAATGCCATCAGGCAGAAGGAATTCTCTCTTACTTTGGGAACTGTCGGCCTGTTGAATTCAGGCCTTCAGCTGATTGGATGAGGCCCACCCTCACTAGAGAAGTCGATTTGCTTTAGTTATTCTACTGAAGGGAAGGCAAGGCATGGTGGCGCACACCTGTAATCCCGGCACTTTGGGAGGCTGAGGCATGCAGATCATGAGGTCAGGAGTTCAAGACCAGCCTGGCTAACACGATGAAACTTCATCTCTACTAAAAATACAAAAAATTAACCGGACATGGTGGCACACGCCTGTAATCCCAGCTACTTGGGAGGCTGAGGCGGAGAATCATTGAACCCAGGAGGTGGAGGTTGCAGTGAGCCGAGATGGTGCCACTGCACTTCAGCCTGAGTGACAGAGTGTGAGACTCTATCTCAAAAGAAAAAAAAAAGAAAACACACACACACACACACACACACACACACACACACACACAGAGAGAGAGAGAGAGAGATACAGAAATGTAACATTTGACCAAATATCTGGGCATACTGTGACCCAGTCAAGTTGACATATTAAGTTAACCACCATAAGTAATATTAAACAATTATACTTACATATTTAGGCATGATAAAGGCATTTTGGTTAGTCTAAGAAGAAAAAAGCCTTATTTTATTATTTTTTAATATTGTGCTTTAGGTTCTGGGGTAATGTGTAGATCATGTAGGATTGTTGCATAGGTACATATATGGCAAGGTGGCTTGCTGCCTTCCTGCCTTCCTACCCCCATCACCTATATCTGGTATTTCTCCCCACATTATCCCTCCTCACCCCCCATTGTCCCTCCCCTAATCCCCCCCAACTGACCGCAGTGTGTGATGCTCCTCTCCCTGTGTCCACATGCTCTAATTGTTCAACAGCCATCTATGAGTAACAGCACGTGGTGTTTGGTTTTCTGTTCTTGTGTCAGCTTGCTGAGAATGATGGTTTCCAGAGTCATCCATGTCGCTATGAAGGACATGAGCTCATCATTTTTTATGGCTGCATAGTATTCCATGGTCTATAAGTGCCACATTTTCTTTATCCAGTCTGTTGTTGATGGACATTTGGGTTGGTTCCAGGTCTTTGCTATTGTAAACAGTGCCACTATGAACATACATGTGCATGTGTCTTTATAATAGAACAATTTATAATCCTTTGAGTATATACCCAGTAATGGGATTGCTGGGTTGAATGGTGTTTCTATTTCTAGGTCTTGAGGAATAGCCACACTGTGTTCCACGGTGGTTGCACTGATTTGCACTCCCACCAACAGTATTAAAAGTGTTCCTATTTCTCCACATCCTCTCCAGCATCTGTTGTCTCCAGATTTTTTATTGATCACCATTCTAACTGGCATGAGATGGTATCCCAATGTGGTTTTGATTTGCATTTCTCTAATGGCAAGTGATGATGAGCATTTTTTCATATGTTTGTTGGCTTCATAGATGTCTTCTTTTGTAAAGTGTCTGTTCATATCCTTTGCCCACTTTTGAATAGGCTTGTTTGTTTTTACCTTGTAAATCTGTTTTAGTTATTTGTAGATTCTGGATATTAGCCCTTTGTCAGATGGGTAGATTGCAAAAATTTTTCCCATTCTGTTGGTTGCCGGTTTACTCTAATGATTGTTTCTTTTGCTGTACAGAAGCTCTGGAGTTTAATTAGATCCCATTTGTCTAGTTTGGCTTTTGTTGCCATTGCTTTTGGTGTTTTAGCCATGAAGTCCTTGTCTATGCCTATGTCTTGAATGATTTTGCCTAGATTTTCTTCTAGAGTTTTTATGGTGTTAGGTCTTATGTTTATATCTTTAATCCATCTGGAGTTAATTTTAGTGTAAGATGTCAGGAAGGGGTCCAGTTTCTGCTTTCTGCATATTGCTAGCCAGTTTTCCCAACACCATTTATTACACAGGGACTCCTTTCCCCATTGCTTTTCTCAGGTTTGTCAAAGTTCAGTTGACTCTGGATGTGTGGTGTTGCTTCTGAGGCCTCTGTTCTGTTCCATTGGTCAAGTCTCTGTTTTGGTACCAGTACCATGCACTTTTGATATCTGTGGCCTTGTAGTATAGTTTGAAGTCAGGCAGCATGATGTCTCCAGCTTTTTCTTTTTGCTTAGGATTGCTTTGGCAATATGGGGTCTCTTTTGGTTCCATATGAAGTATGAAGTGTTTTTTTTCCAGGTCTGTGAAGAAGGTCATTGGTAGCTTGATGGGGATAGCATTGAATCTATAAATTACTTTGGGCAGTATGGCTATTTTCACAATGTTGATTCATCCCAACCATGAGCATGGAATGTTTTTCCATCTGTTTGTGTCTTCCGTTATTTCACTGAAGAGTGGTTTGTAGTTCTCCTTGAAGAGGTCCCTTACATTCCTTTGTTAGTTGTATTCCTAGGTGTTTTATTCTCTTTGTAGCAATTGTGAATGACAGTTCGTTCTTGATTTGGCTCTCTTTAAGTCTGTTATTGGTGTATAGGAATGCTTGTGATTTTTGCACATTTATTTTTATCCTGAGACTTTGCTGGAGTTGCTTATGAGTTTCAGGAGATTTTGGGCTGAGATGATGGGGTCTTCTAAATATACAATCATGTCATCTGCAAATAGAGACAGTTTGACATCCTTCTTTCCTAATTGAATACCCTTTGTTTCTTTTCCTTGCCTGATTGTTCTGGCTAACACTTTCAATACTATATTAAATAGGAGTGGTGAGAGAGGGCATCCTTGTCTAGTGCCAGATTTCAAAGGGAATGCTTCCAGTTTTTGCCTATTCAGTATGATATTGGCTGTTGGCTTGTCATAAATAGCTTTTATTATTTTGAGATACGTTCCATCTAGTTTATTGAGAATTTTTAGCATAAAGTGCTGTTAAATTTTGTTAAAGGCCTTCTCTGCATCTATTGACATAATCATGTGGTTTTTGTCTTTGGTTCTGTTTATGTGATGGATTATGTTTATAGACTCGAGTATGTTGAACCAGCCTTGCATCCCTGGGATGAAGCCTACTTGATCATGATGAATAAGCTTTTTGATGTGCTATTGCATTCTGTTTGCCAGTATTTTATTGAAGATTTTTGTGTCAATTTTCATCATGGATATTGGCCGGAAGTTTTCTTTTTTAGTTGTGTTTCTTCCCAGTATTGGTCTCATAAAATGAGTTGGGGAGGATTCCCTCTTTTTGTATTGTTTGGAATAGTTTCAGAAGGAATGGTACCAGTTCCTCTTTGTACGTCTGGTAGAATTCAGCTGTGAACTTATCTGGACCTGGGCTTTTGTTGGTTGGTAGGCTATTAATTGCTACCTCAACTTCAGCCCTTGTTATTGGTCTATTCAGGGTTTCAACTTCTTCCTGGTTTAGTCTTGGGAGAGTGCAAGTGTCCAGGAATTTATCCATTTCTTCCAGATTTACTGGTTTATGTGCATAGAGTTGTTTGTAGTAATCTCTGATGGTAGTTTGTATTTCTGTGGAATCAGCGGTGATGTCCCCTTTATCGTTTTTCATTGCATCTATTTGATTCTTCTCTCTTTTCTTTTTTATTAGTCTGGCTAGCAATCTATCTATCTGTTGATCTT